TAAAAACAGCGATGAGCAATTTTTTTTTAACCTTTTTACCACTGTTCAGGTAGATTTCATACAAAATTCATCGATTATTCGTGAACCGACCATTACACCGTACGATGATATTTTTACGCATGGAATTGAACCGCCTCGTTGCTGGTCGTTGGAAATCAAAAATGCCCAGTATAGTGACAGTGGAACATATCTGTGTCATGTGAAAACAACTGGCAAGCATGAAATCAACGCCAATCATACGATCAACTTCTTCGTCAAAGGTAGTTATGCCGTTTTCCCTGAAAAATTCCATCTTAAAAATTGTGCTTTTGCGGCATAAGGCAATGGAGTTGCGCCACTTTGGTGCAGAAAGTCGAAGGGATCTATGATTTGTTCATTCGTTCTGTGGTAAATTGGTGCTGGCACCATCACCTGAGAAATTTTCGAGAGGGAGAAAAAGAGAGAGCCATCAAAAACCTTACCACTGAGAGATTCCTCATAGCTTTGGGAAGTTTCTGATGCTTTTGGACTACTACGAATTACCTTTGCTTCTCATGGAAAGTAAATTCGCGGGTTTTGTCTTTTTATTTTGATCATGTGCAATTGGTAGAAACAGAAAAGTAAGTAGAGGTCATCTGTATCCGGTTTTTAACAAAGGACCATTCCTGAAGTCTATACAAATCGCTTCTTCTAACCCTCTGGCTTTCTAACATTCAGGCTTTGGGATTCATGTGTGAACTGGAAAAGATTCATTTTTAACAGACTAGCGGTGTTGTCTTAATCGATCACCGTACATGACTATACCTCTTTGGATTCCCTGTAATCGCCATGGAATAAGCCATGAATTAACGCCTCTTTCTTGTCAACTGATTTTTAGCATAAACAAAGAACTTAGAATAGTTTTGCAAAAGCTTGCAACAATACGCTTAGTTTATTTTTAAAAGTTTGGGCCGCTTCATGCCAAAACCATTTCTAACAAGTTGGAGAAAGCCACCACAGAGATAGTTCGTTTCCTGTCTATTGAAAAAGAGAGGCGCTAATTGCTTTTGCATTCTTGAAAGGCGCCCTGAGAAATATGTCTCGTTTCCTCCGTGTTAATGAAGGATACCGTGCTTTCTGTATTTAAGTGAAGGCATTACTGGGGAGTTTTTCCTTGCTTCATGCGCTTGAAAGGAGGAAAACATGGGAATACGCTTAATCAGGTCTCTTAATTTCAGTGGGATTCTACAGAAATAAATACTTAACTTACAGATTTTTCGAGTAAAAGTATTAGGATTTTTTTTAACTCCTTCCAAATTCTGTTTTTTTTTTGTTAGAAAAAATTTGCATATTAAAAAATATCTTGCAAATACTTAGGTTGGATTCCTAATCTCGCAGCGCAACTCTCCACGCATTCCGCTGCTTTCACTGATCGTCTGGCTGAACGACGAAAAATCAAGAAATCTAAAGTGAAAAGTGAGTCGGTGGTGTAACTTTAAGCATGTCGTCGTGGTACTTCCGCTTGCATGCTTGTTGTTGTGGTACTTTCCTATGACTTTCTTGTGCATGCCATCTTCCAACGAATCCCTACGCCCAACGAATTTTGATTGACCTGCCCGGAAAGACCATCATCAGTGTACTCGTTAGTATTGTGTTACGTTACAGGGGATGCTAAACTGTAGCTATTTGATAACCCAAATTTGAGGAATAGTGAAATGCAGCCGTTAGACGACCGAATCGTAATATTGAAACAAGTGAACGGCCAAAAGAAATGGAAATGTGGAACAGCCGGAGTTAGAAAGTTAAAACGAAGGGTAGAATAAGTTTGTTAAAATAATTTGCGGCCTTTGGTAGGCTGAACCGCAGTTTGCAAAAAACTGAACGGTCCAAAGCACGAAAAATGTGGAAAAGCCAGAGTTGGAAAATTTTCACCTAGGATGGGGTCAATTTAATAAATCTTAATGGAAAAGATAATAACGTTGTTCATGTGCCATAAAACCGTATGATATGTTGAAAGAGTTATGTGGAAAGGATTACGTAGGAAATAGTCTGCGCGTATTTCATCCCTTAGCTGTAAACACAGACAGTATGAGGTGCAGGTCATTGCTGTTATCAATAAGCGCTGACTATCAAGTGATGCATTATTGGACAAGGCAATTGAATATATTGTCAGATGCATGGCTGTTTAAACTACAGCTGATTAAAGCACCACTTTTTTATAGTGCGAGTAATTTGTACATAGCATTTAGGTTTCTACGACATAAATTAGCTAATATACGTTTTTAATAAAAAGCTGAAGTAGATTTCCACGCACGGTTACTTTTTGGCTATTTCAAGACTCCATACATCGTTGGCTCTTGTACCCCTCTCCTCTCTTCCCCTCCCATACACATGCACACACACAAACAGACACACACGCACACATACAGGCACACACAGACAAACACACATACACACACACACACACACACACACACTTTTTGGCTATTCACAAGTTTAGTAATCAAAATATTAAGTTCCACCTCGGTGCTTAGTTTTTACTTCTGTAAGTTTCGATCACAGAATTAAATTTGAAGCGGAAGGGGGGGGGGAATGCGGTAAATATTGTTTTCTTTTTGATTCATAAAATTGGTTGTTCGGATTGTTTGTTGAGTTTTTTTTTGCATGGTTTGCTCTTTGCATGTTCACTGCTGTTCTCACATGTTCTCATTTTGTTTCAAAAAATTACTTATGATGTGTTCACTCGTTTGAGTTTCTTTCAGCTCCACGAATGATTCAAAATGTTTCGGTGAAAGCGAATGCAACGCATGCCGAGATTCGTTGGGATGCAGAAGATGATGGAGCAATGCTAAAGATTGATTTCAAGTTAGTAATAATAATAATCGCTATTTTGGCTGTGATTCTCTTGATCCTCCTCAGAAGTCAGGCATTTTTTGTTCTCCTTCTCTATCCTGTCCTCATTCCATGCCCCTTGGAGCTGCATCTGGAAACTTGAGTAATCTTCGAGTGGAATTTTGTGAAATTTGATCAAGTTAATTTTTTTTTTCATTTAATTGATTAGCATTTCAACGATTCTCCAGAAAAAAAAGCATTTGCCTGGGCTTTAGCGTTTCTCTATGTCCTTGGTTTATGGTTGGGTATCGTTACCTCTTCTCCCCCAATGTTACCATTTTAAGAAAAAATTAATGTTACTCATTGATGTTTTGTAACAAATGGCCCCTCATTTCACGGACTGATGCATTTATAACAACTGGCACGTGCCGCCCATTTATCTAGATAAGGAAGGAAGAATTTTTGCGCAATGCGGGAAATTTATGCGCATTGTGTGTGTGCTTTGTAAATGTCATGTTTCCTCTACTATTTTTTTGTGTTGTTAACGTCTGAGAATGCATTTATAAGCGAGTTCCGGGATGAGTAATTGGAAACGTCAAAATAGTTTATATTGGGAAATTTTGACGTTACAGATTGGTTAGGCGAACAGATGGTGTTGAAGTTTGGTCCGATGTTAACGCAAAATCAGGCGTAGTCATTGGTGAACTACTACCAGCAACACCCTACACATTATTCATATCAGTATTTGATGGCCAAAATGAACCGTTCAAAATCACTGAACATTTCACAACATCTGAAAGCGGTATTTTATACTTTCTTAAGCTTTCACAGTTTTAATACGGCAACTTTGTATGATCCAGTTGTGGTTATGGTAAGGAATGTATACGACTTAATAGACCGAAACACTTCTTGTCATTATAATAATCTCACAAAATTCTCTAATTTTCATTTCTCACCTATTAATGGGCATGGCACACTGGGAAGTAGTAGTGCTCTTATTTAGGGAGTCGAAGATTCGATCCGTCATTAGCACAACTAGTTCCTTTACGATTCATCCATTCGTTTCGATGATATATTGGTATTAGAACATGTTAGGAAATCAAAACTGTTATTAGCTTGCTTCTAAGCAACTCTCGAAATAGCCTTGTTAGCGGGCGACTACTGTTTCACATGTTACCGTTCGGACAAATTTTCCGAGTGTTTCCACAAACTGAGTTATTAAGTAAGGGTCTTGACCGTCGTGTCTGAATATCCATTTGGCGTCCTCACATTTGGCTCGCCTTTCCTTTCATTGCCTTTTTTTTTTAAAATATTAAGTTACTCTTAAAATACAAAGATTAAAAACTATAAAAAAAAAGTGGAACCAAGAGATTAAGAATATCCCAAAATATCGGTGTAAGGGTTCGATTTTAGTAATGTTATTGGGATACCTCCACAAAGTTAGAACAAAAAATTCTTCTGATCATGGTTATGGTAATCCTCCGGTGTTAGCTTCTAAATTGTCAGCTAGGGCCAAGAATCGAGTTTTTGGGCAGTCAAAAGAAACTGGAAAAACATATTAACTTTTATTTCTTTCGGCAGATTTCAAAACTGTTACGTAGCAGGTGGGATTTTAGCGGCTCTCAGTTCACTTCTGAAGTATCTTGCAGTATATGAAGCCAGAAGAGATTATTTTGTTTGTTTTTCAATTTATCAACTGAGCAATATTTTGTTTTTATCATTGTTTTTCTTATTTTAGCGCCTGAGCCACCGACACTGGGCGAAATTCGCGTCCTGAATCTCCAAGGCGGTTTATATTGTGAAGTGGAATGGATGCCACCAAAAACACCGAATGGCCGCATCATCAAATACTATGTAAATCCATTTGCTGTTTCGTGTTTTCACGATTCCTAGGTATACATTGTAACAGAAGAAAACAGTGCTAAAGTACCCATTAGAATGGGCAAAACACTTCATAATGGATGGGACAGCATTAGTCATAACACTTGGTAAACTTCATCATTTGCAATGACTAATGCTGCAGCTGGAGAACCAGTCAATGATTTACAGCTGCTGTGGACCGAAATATTTCTTACCATATTTTGCAATAAATTTCAATTTTTATTAATTTCTTAACACTTTCTTTCTCTCTTTTTCCATTAAAATATTTTTCCTTGATTAGTGACGTATCCAGAAGTACTGGAAAAAAAAATCATGAAAATCGTAAAATCATTATTCAAAAAGTTTCCAGGTACGAGTACGTGGACAAATTCGGCATGTTTCACCGGGTGGCGTTTTGTCGAACGATGATTTCCCGGTGGAAGAGAAGAATCAGTGTGCTAACTATAACAACGATGAGAATAGTTTTACAAGTGCTGACGCAATCGCTGATTTTTATTCTTGTCGTTTTGGACCACTGAAAGTTTGAATTTATCCCCGATTATAAATATCTATGGCTAAATCAAATACATATAATTATCTTCCCATGATCAGCGGGATAACGGTTTTGAAGCATTTGGATTAGTTTTAAGCCGTAGTTGATTACGCTTCAGACAATTTTATCTGTTGTTTCGACCAATACTGCATCGCCTGGTACTTCATCTCCTGGTACCAATACTTCATCTCCTGAAAGAATTACCAATTTAGCAATTCATCCAACGAAAGCATTTTGCAGGAGTTTAGTTATTTTAAGAATTCCTTGATGCATTTTGAGTATTGTTACCTCATTCTCAACTGTTGTTACTCTTAGAACACGATGAAGGGGTTTTGTTAAGAAGATAACATTTTTAGAATTTCTTGGTCATTTATGTTTTAAGACCTTTACGGTCTTTTACTTGTGACAGACCAACGGCAGGTTTGCCAGCGAATGGTTGCCATTGGCATTTGCTCTTGCTTGGACTACTTCCCAAGTGCCTCATCCTCTTGCAAAGATTGAATACGGGAAAGAGGAGGGGTTTAACTTCTGATGTTGATGGTCTTATAAATATTAATTTCAGGATTGTGGCATTTTTTAAAGATAAGTTACAATAGAAATTTTTGAAAATATCATCAAAGTTTCAATGCTTCAGCCGAATCGAAATTATACAGCATTGCTATGGGCTGAAAATGGCGCTGGCCGAAGTGATAGTGTAACTTATTCGGAGCAATGTATCACGGATTTTGCGCAGCCAGATTCAGTCGATCCTCCTGCCTCGTTACCCCAGAATGGAACAACATTTGGCTTAACGTTCAACAATGAACCCGATGAAACTAATGGGCCTATTGCGTTAGTTGTTTTTTTTTTTATTATAAATCAATTCGTATCGTTTTTAATCGATCAAACACCAGTGTCGCCAGTTGGCTAACTCGCCAGTGATACATTTTTAGCCAGAGCAACCACGGAAACCTTGCCAGTTACTAAACGGAGGCAAAATTTTTAACAGGAGAGGGTAACACATCGAATTTTTTCTCGCTGATAATCTGTAGTTTCTGATTTTCCGAGTGAATTGTGGATTTTGTTGTTCCTTGTGGTCTCTAGATAGTAGCCTTCTTGTGTCCCATTATTTATTGGCTTCCTGTAATCAGCTGATTCTGGCCTTCTTATCTGTCCTTTGTTTTTGGTGGGCATTCGGCATGCGTAAAATGTTTGGGGGCTGTAAAATTTTTCAACTTTTAGAGTTTTACTAGTCCATCAACAAAATCAGAGTAATAAATTCGATTTTTTTCCCACTTTGGATGACTGAGTAAATAGAAAAAACTTGTTTTATTGATCAATTGACAAATAGCTTTACTTTTATGCCAGAGATCATTGGCACACTTCCTCCGCTGGGCCAACCATTTCCCCTCTACGATTCGTTCATTCATTTCAAATGCTGAACTAATACAACCACGTTGAGTCAAAATCGCCATCAGCTTGATTTTCGCAACTGTCAGAAGTGAAAATTAACAGCCGGGAACGGATGGATTTTGCTATTCTCGAATGTCTTCACCTTTCAGGGAGAGTAGTTTACGAAAGAGATTTTAAGGAGCACGATTAGGCTCTATTGGGGAGGAGCTGGCTTTAGTAGATAGCAAAGAAATATGTGATTCTTTGTACCAGTGCTTGCTGATATCGGTTTCTCTTTTTTTAACAGGTGCTATTACATTGCAATCGTTCCACTCTCACCGGATGTTGTGATCGAAAGTTTACCGGCACCAGATTCGCTTATTGTAGATACATTCCTGAAAACAATGAACAATAATTTGCACAACGAGCAGCAGCAGCAACACAAACAGGTCGATAATTTCACAAAATTTTCGTAGAATCGTTTTTTTTTTTTCAAAAATTTCGATTGCAGTCTTTGATGATATGATGATACAATTGCTTGGTATCATCAGCATTGCCCGGACGACTGGTGTGAAGCCTTCGGTATTTTCAACAACAGTGTTTCAGGGTACGAAACAGAAGCATCGTTTCTTTGCGTATGTTGCCGAAAGCTATATGCAGTATCCACGTAGAACACTAATTGGTGATGGTAACACAACAGGTGGTGTCGAGCCATGCAACGTTTTGTTCGTTTTCCGCCTTTTTTTCACTTAGGCTTTTCGTTTTTTGGAATTTTCAAGAAATAAAAAGATCTAGCAAAAATTTTACTCACCTAAATTCCCTTCTCCATCCAGGTTTCTCACAGGTCATTCAGTCATTTTTGAGCTGTAAAACGTTTTGGTCCATTAAGTCACATATGTCTTAACACTACAATAGGAACTCGTCAGTATGACGACTTCAGTGCTAAGCTGCTAACTCGCTGCCACCGGTATTTCCACGCCACCGTAACTGTTATAGTAGCTTAGCATTGCAGTCTTCATACTGACGAGGTTCTGACGCGGTGTTTAGTTAAGACGTATATAACCTAATGGACCGAAACGTTTTATCTCACTCTTACCTTCTTTTCTCATGCTGTAATCTGTCGCGCCTTCGCAATCTAGGCTTCCAGGGTCAACCTTTTTGCTGCAATCGGCTTAGTCATTTTTTTTTCAACCTACCGTCATAGTAGTTTTTTTCTACGTGAGCTTGATGTTCGTACAGAAAACGTGCTCTCGTTGCAGCTGTTATTACGTGACAGTGATTTTTGATCTTTTTTTTTTTGAGTATTAGTGAATAAACCAACTGTATTATCACTTCACTGTATTTGTGAAATGACTTTTTTTCAGATATTTAAGCCGTCATCGTCCGGAAGATCCGGCACTGAAAGCGGGCCTAAAATACACGGGTTTCTTGATTGCACGTGTCGACCGCGACCACGCAACACGTGATGATTTATTCCGCCAGAGTGATCTGTTTTTCATAAAAAGAAAACGGTATGTGATTTACAAAATGTTTGTCTAGGATTTTTGCCTTCAAATCAATTCTAAAATAAAGTGATTTTTAATTTTATGCAAAATTGTTATATTTCCTTTCATCCTCTTCTCCCTTTCCCTTCTTCTCACTGATTTTTCCGCGAAAACATTCACAAAATTAGGGAGGGACGAGGATTGTACTGATAAACTTCACAATTTTAACATTTTAATGCTATATCTGTTTGTATACAAAACTTGGGGGTGAAACGTGGAAAGGTTTTTTTTCAATTTGTCAAAGTACCATGTCTTGAGTTTACACTATTTTCTTCTAATTCTTCCGCTTTTTTGAATTTAATAGTTATTCTTTGAAATTACATCGAATTTTTACCTATAACTGTTCTAATCATACCAGCGTTTCACTCTTAAAACAACGATTTCAGGCAAGCAGTATGTGTAAATATATGGGATTTGTGAAAAAATAGGAGTTTTTTTAGAAGGCGACTACATCAAAGCATGGAAAAACGATTTTTGGAGCGTAGCCGTTGGTTTAGCTACCGTGAAGATGCAGAATTTCCCGGCCGATTGCGTTCATCACGGCAGCTGATTGCCAGTGGCCCTGCATATGGTTTTAGTGGATATTTCAAGCCAGTAATCCTGGAAGCCTTTGATGGTTCGTTTCTGATCTAGTTTGAGTGATAAGATATAGTTACTGATTTAAATATACACAAGTACGAGTTAATATTATGTTTTTGCCGAAAGGGACGAAAATACTGGATTAATGCATCTTCTTTTGTCTTTAAATTACGCTGAAAACAAATTTCTGAACAAAATTCTGTCTTATATTTTATTGCTTAGACTATGAAAAAGTCATTTTTCTCCATAAAAACTGAATTCTAGCGATTCATTATCTGCCTGCGAGTATTTTTTTGCTACATGGTTGCTACGACTTTTGAGAAATTTGTCTTATTTCAGGACGTTTTGCACAGTCCTGGATGACTGTTCTGTTCAGTGTGCTTTCTCTGGTCCTCTTCATCATGCTTGTTTCCTCATTTGTCACTTATGTGCTACACAGGTATCTTCTTTCTTTTAGTTTTTGAGCTTTATCATTGTTTTATTATTGTCATTACCGGTACAGCTGGCAGTTTCTCCATTCTAATCTGTTTTGAACGCACGCGTTGCATCCTGATGTGAAGACGAGTGGTTCGATTCCCTTTTTTTGACAAAAAGGGCTCCGTTCGTACGATAAACAGTTCTTGAATAAAGCCATTGAAGACCTTACCAGCGGATAGTTTATTCTTGATGTTTAGAGCATTGGCTGTTATTGATAAAACGGTACTAACGCTTGCCAGAGGCTCAAACCCGCCATCAGCTTGCTTTTAAGCCGCCCTTGAAAGAGGGAGACATGTGAGTATTACCAAAGGGGGAGGAGGTTGGCTAACATTCGGGCTATTTTTAAGAGCATCCGCCCCTTTTAGGAAGGGGATATTGAGGTTGTTTTGACTATTGATGTGGCGAACATGAATGTAATTTTGTCGTTGAAATTCTCTGGTAATGTTTTAGGTCCCAGGTTATAATTTATGTTTTGTAGGCGTGGAATGATCAAGCAATTATGCCCGA